AGACAAACTGTACTAAAATGTATTAAAATACTAAGTAAAAAAAGATAAGGATTAATGTAGATTTTGCTGACATACAAATCTTTCTACTTTTGTGGTTTGTCGAAAATGTATTTGGGGCTATCTTAGTTTTTCCAGCTACATTACAGATCTATTCAGCTCATCCTCATCTTATAGGATGTACATTAAAGTATGATTATTTTTCTGGATAACAAAGTACATACAATGAGTAGCTGAGAACTGCAGTTTCTTGTAATATCAGCACTCCTCAGCCCAGCTAGATCTTGAGTAATATCAACACTCCTCAGCCCAGCTAGATCTTGAGTAATATCAACACTCCTCAACCCAGCTAGATCTTGAGTAATATCAACACTCCTCAACCCAGCTAGATCTTGAGTAACATCAACACTCCTCAACCCAGCTAGATCTTGAGTAACATCAGCACTCCTCAACCCAGCTAGACCTTGAGTAACATCAGCACTCCTCAACCCAGCTAGAACTTGAGTAATATCAGCCCTCCTCAACCCAGCTTGATCTCGAGTAACATACGCACTCCTCAACCCAGCTAGATCTTGAGTAATATCAACACTCCTCAGCCCAGCTAGATCTCGAGTAATATACGCAAGTGAGAATCCATGAACACAAAGTTCAGTGCCAAAAGATGATCGCGTGACCCAGGCAACAATACGCAACCCAATCAAGAAAGATGTCTGTCTGGAAGAGCGACAAAAGGCACATGTACACAAGTTCGATCCGCGACATATCCAGCCTATGTGTACCTTGATAACTGTAAAAAGTATTTTACTATTTTCTACCGGTCAATTAGTTGTTTTGCGCCAAAAAACATCAAAAAACAAACAACCTACCGGACAATGATTGAAACAAGTTTCTGAAAGTGGTGCACGGCTTGTCGTGAAACTTTTTCGAAGGAGTTCATTACCATCGCTGGATATGGCACCAGGGACAAGTTAGGGATCCATAGAGTGGATACAAAGGTCAAGGTGAACAAACAGAACAATGTTCTGGACCTACTGTGCCACACAGAAACACCAGTTTTGTAAAGAAACGAGACGAACAGGGTATGAGTTCACTAAAATAAGGCTTTCAGTCACACCTCATGTTAAATTTCGCAAGTTTCAAGCAGCTGCAGATTCAAACAAGTATTTGTGCTGCCTCATATGAAGACATGCTGATTAAAGCATCAGAGGCGGAACCTATGGATTTTTGTGCAATCAAATTGTTGAAAGTGGTGCTGGGAAACCACCGCTCTCGTACACTACATGGATTATGGAAAGGGCGCAGAGAGTAATGATGTGCTTTGGACATAACAATCTTACGACAGAGCCCTTTTCAATGGAAATTAAGCTGTTACAAAAAGCAATGAGCTAAACTAGATGGTATGATTATGGCTACAATTCATACTTACAGTTTAATGACAAACGTGTCGTATCCACATTGTGGAATCGCCCACTTCGTGAATTGCCTCCACATCGTGTAATAGTTTCTAACTTCGCAATATGGATGATATAAGAAGTCTGTATTTACATCATTCTTGTATATTTTTATTTATTGTTTGAATGGAAATAGCTCACGCTTTCTATTTGGTTCTTAAATACTAGGCCTTCTTTTGGCTGTATTGTGGATCTGTGGGATGACTTGTGTACATTTTTTAGCCATTATTAGTTTCTTAATTATCCTTGAACCTACTTCAATCCCATCCATTGAACTTGAAAAACACTTCATTCTACTAAACCGATTTATTCTGCGATGAAACGGATGTCTTTGCAAAGCTATTACACCATGTCTCGGAACATGAATTCAAAAGGGACCCGGTATGTCAGTAGTAATTTTATATGTAAACTTTATCAACAGTACACTCCAATGCAATAAGTGTCTGGTGAAAAAGCTAGCTAGTAATGTTATCAGTTGTATCTGTGCTTCCTACTATATCATTTAATCTTGTTAAGCTGGGCCCGGCATAGCCAGGTGGTTAAGGCGCTCGACTCGCAATCTGAGGGTCGCGGGTTAGAATCCCCGTCACACCAAACATGCTCGCCCTTTCAGCCGTGGGGGTGTTATAATATGACGGTAAATCGTTGGTAAAAGAGTAGCCCAAGAGTTGGCGGTGGGTGGTGATGACTAGCTGCCTTACACTGCTAAATTAGGGACGGCTAGCGCAGATAGTCCTCGTATAGCTTTGTGCGAAATTCAAAACAAACAAACTTGTTAAGCCTTACATACGTATACAAGTGCTTGTACATTTAAACATCTTCGATTGTGTATGATAAGCTTTGTAGACTACCGGATACAAACGTGTCAGCTCATGTCCGAGCCGAGTAACAATAATCAACTTACGTTTTATTCTATCCCTTTCAAGTTGACGTTTCAATTATTCTTAATTGAAAGTAGGTTTGAATAGTATCTTCACTACCAATAGTGAATAATGACCTTGCTAATAAGCCCTGGGACGATAATCTAACGTTTCTAAATGATTTATGGTTGGATATTTTTATTTCAGAATTTTGCTCGCACAAAGATACAAAAGGCTATCTGGGTAGGCAGCTAACCCTATATCTGAACGTGATTCAACCGTAACCCTTATAATGCACCCACGATATCGTTTCATTGTTGTTTTTTTTTGTGGAAAAAATGGTCTCGAACTACGAATTCTCGAATTCACAGTCCCGGCACCGAAGGCCACGTCCTGTCAGTTTCTGGAACATGCACTTATTTTTTCCATCACAGTAAAATAACCTCATGAGGTTAATGATAATGTCATACCAGTATGATGTGTATATACATATATTACAGTGAATGGAACAGTAATAACAGACACGCACCTCCAACTTTACAAGTAAATATGTCTTTTAATTTCGGTACGTTCACTCAAACCTCTAGTTAATCCTACGTTATCTATCAGTTTCCTGGAATTATGCTCGTAGTTGCTGAACCGAACGTAAGAATAACAATGTTATCAAAAAATAACATACACACACACACACACAGAAAAAACATTTCTAATCATCAGAATATATATATCATACATTGACGCCACTGGATTGCACGCCACTGCAGGAAGTAGACCAATCAGAATAATAAATGAGATTATCTCCCCCCCCCTCCCCCGACCTACGACTACATCCCCTGAGGTCACGCACAATATGATTATACAAAAACACAGTCCATAAACTGGGAAAATAAGTGCGGTTTTTGGTTGTTGTTTTTTAGGGTTAGGTTAGTTCTCTTTCTCGTGGAGAAATATGATGAATTGTTCTTTAGTTTATTTAAGTGTGCGGAATATTCCATTTCGCTGATTGAACTGGTATTCTTTGTAATTTTTTGTTCTAATTTGGAGTTTTTTCTTTCTTGAATTTTTAAAAAGAATAATGCGAGACTAATGAATATACATATATATATATATACATGTCTTTTCCTTCTTTTGCATTAGTGTTGGATAATAATTGTACGCAATAATGATCATCAAACTGCCCTGCTCTCGGCATTAATATTTTTTCACATATATTATTATTAAATTGGCATACAGTAATCCGTCGAGATTAGGCTGGAAATATACCCAGTTGATAACAGTTTTTCATTTTATCCATTTCCTTGAAGTTACTCAAACCTCATTATGCTAATAAGTATTTAAAAAAAATGTACGTGTGCAGAAATCTTTCTCCAATTACGAAAATAGAATAAAATTATTAATGATGTGTTTAGATAGATAGACAGATGTTTTATTTGCGAAATGTAACTAGACTAACATGCTATGGTTGTAGTTCCTGGTTATAATAGGTTTTCCAGGCTTTACTTATACTATTCCATGTTTAAAAAAAACAACGGATAGTGGGGTAAAGATCACGAAACGTTATAGTCACCGGGCACAACTTACATTTCTAAATTTAAAATGTTATTTATGTTTGATGGCAAAAACGCATTTCGTGTATGTGTATGAGAGTGCTGGCTTATTTGATATATATATATATATATAACAAAGTATAGCTAAAGAACCGTGTTCAACAGATTTAAATTTTAATTCTTTCCCCTTAAAGGCGAGAAGAAAAAAGCGAGTATACGATATTACAGAACAGCAAAATGTGTACACGTACTTAGAGACATATCTTCAAAATGCAACAACTCATTATAGCTAATGAGGGTTTGTTTGTTTGTACAAGGAGTACCAGATAAATATCACAAAATACTGATGAAAATATGTTGATGCTAAAAATCATCTAGAAAACTTCCCAACACTACTTTCCTCATACATACACGTATATTATTTCCCCAAAATGGGGCCAAAGGGCGCCTGGAGGGGCCACCTGTTTTAACCACTCACACCACAGTAGTGTGTTATCTGTCAGTCTGTCGGTAGACACTAAAATGGCGTCACATCAAGGGACGCTTAAAGTTGCAAATTTGGACTGTCTTGGCATCAGTAAAACGTGCGCATGCCATGAATCACGAGAAGAATTATGCAGTCTGTAGGCTACGACACAGCATGACATATGAACTTCAAAAGCAAGAATTAAATATATTTGTTTCCCTTGATTTTGGTCTTAGTTACTCTTTTCGGGGAGCCTGCGCAAGTACATCAAGTACAAAAATATGTATATGTGAATAATCCTGGACATTAAGTTTTCAGATTTATCATATTGATAGTTGATTGAATGGTTTTTATAAAGTAGGAACAAACATTGTTTCATAAGTTTATTCGACGGGGTAAGATTTAGAAACCGATACAGAATATTTGTCTATGAAAAGTAATGTGTAAGAATGTTTCTTGATTTGAGTTTATTTTCGATGTGCAACCATACATTTAGTTAAAACATAACATTCAACTGAAAGAGCCATTTGTCATAAAACTATGAACTATAGGTTTTGTTTTGTTTTTTTGTGTGGATTACGCTTCATAATTGGTCGTAATATGGAATGTATTTTTTTTTAATTTGAAATTTCTTTACGGGTTTAAAAAGAAATCTGCTTCTTTTTTTTTAACTTTACAGCAATACAACAATTCTATAAAGTACAGGTGTTTGATGAATTCGTTACGACTGGAAATATAGCGGTGATGCGATGCCACGTGCCTTCATCCGTTCGTGATAGTGTCACGTTCACCTGGGAAAGAAATGACGGAATAAAGATGACACCAACGGCCTTACAAGGTCAGTAGGATTTTAACGTAGAGTTCTTGTCTGTTCAGTAAACGGCCTTAAAAGGTCAGTAGGATTTTAACGTAGAATTTTTGTCTGTTCAGTAAACGGCCTTACAAGGTCAGAAGGATTTTAACGTAGAGTTTTTGTCTGTTCAGTAAACGGCCTTACAAGGTCAGAAGGATTTTAGCGTAGAGTTTTTGTCTGTTCAGTCTACGGCCTTACAAGGTCAGAAGGATTTTAACGTAGAGTTTTTGTCTTTTCAGTAAACGGCCTTACAAGATCAGTAGGATTTTAGCGTAGAGTTTTTGTCTTTTCAGTAAACGGCCTTACAAGATCAGTAGGATTTTAGCGTAGAGTTTTTGTCTGTTCATTCTACGGCCTTACAAGGTCAGAAGGATTTTAACGTAGAGTTTTTGTCTGTTCAGTAAACGGCCTAACAAAGTCTGTAGGATTTTAGCGTAGAGTATTTGTCTGTTCAGTCTACGGCCTTACAAGATCAGTAGAATTTTAACATAGAGTTTTTGTCTGTTCGGTAAACGGCCTTAAAAGGTCAGTAGGATTTTAACGTAGAGTATTTGTCTGCTCAGTAAGAATGGGTCTTGAATATAGCTGTATTCCTCGGATCGATATTTAACCAGAATGTTTGAAACGAATCCTATCTTGACAATAATACATTCAACATTAGACTTTTTCACTGTAAGGCATTGCCTGATTAGCTTTGACGTTATTTGTCTGTCTAAGGCACTTAACCATTATTATCCATAAATGTTGTACTCCTCAATAAGCCTACGTTAATTACAAATCGAGTATAACGCTTTTTACCACTTTTTTTCGAATTTCTGGCGGGAAATGGATAGTTAAGAATTGTGCCTCTTTGTTTGTACCTTTCTGGTTTTTCAGTCATGCTAGATTGTTATTTGTTTTGATATTTAACAATTCTACCTCTTTGTTTACATTGTTCTTTATCTCAACAATTCTGGTTTTTCAGTCATGCTAGATTGTTATTTGTTTTGATATTTAACAATTGTACCTCTTTGTTTACATTGTTCTTTACCTCAGTAATTATGTTTTTTTCAGTCATGCTAGATTGTTATTTGTTTGATATTTAACAATTGTACCTCTTTGTTTACATTGTTCTTTACCTCAATAATTCTGTTTTTTCAGTCATGCTAGATTGTTATTTGTTTGATATTTAACAATTGTACCTCTTTGTTTACATTGTTCTTTACCTCAGTAATTCTGTTTTTTTCAGTCATGCTAGATTGTTATTTGTTTGATATTTAACAATTGTACCTCTTTGTTCGCCTTGTTCTTTACCTCAGTAATTCTGGTTTTTCAGTCATGCTAGATTGTTATTTGTTTTCATATTGGATCTGCTAGTAATATTTGATTTAAATTACAACTGAGAAAACCTCCAGATTGAGTCCACGTTTATTAAAGTCCACGAAAGTAATTTAATTGATTTACATAACATTTTTTTTTCTATCCATTTATCCAACTATGTATAATCCACAGCTCAAGGCTGTTTATGGATTGCGTGCGAGTTGGAGGCCGTAGTACGATAACTCGGACAGTTAACATTCATTCAGCTGTTATACCGTCTATAACTACAGACATAAAGCAAAATTCACAACGTATAATGCCACTTCTGCTTGCCAACAGTATGTTGTCGGTTTTGCTGTACAAGCAAGTCCACAATATCCTATATTGAAGCATGTGTTAAGCACAAGAACATTTGGGCAGAAAACGATTGGCACTGCTCTATCTCGTGTATTTTGTCCCTTCTTTTCAGAAAGACTCTCTGGGTCTATGGTATATTGGATTGAAGGGCTTGCGAGTCTTGCACAGATGAAATTGATTTCCCTCCAAATCCTTTAGAAAGAAAACGGTTAGATCACGAAGGCAATGTAATATAACATAAGATGATATTTTTGTTTGGTCAACATGTTGGTTGAACTCAGTCAACAGTAAGTCTAGACATGCCAAACCTTACATTTATACTGTCGATACTCTCAAAAGAACAGGTCGATTTCTGAGAAGTATAGAACGACATACGTACTGAGTAGTCATGCGTTTACTACTTTAATATAATAATACATACTGATAATTAATAAAATATGAAAAGAAAACAACATAAGCATAACAGCTTTTCGAACATTAATTATTGTTATTATTTCATAATTAATCTATACTTTTACAAAGACTTGTGACATCATAAGATATAACCTTAAAACTGCAATACATACATATTTAATCGTCTCCACGTGGACACCGGTAAGTTTACGGACGTACAACGCTAAAATCCAAGGTTCGATTCCCCGCCATGAGCTCAGCAGATAGCCCAATGTGGCTTTGCTTTGAAAAAAATCAAACATACTTAATAAAAATCGTAAACCACACTAGGTATCGTTTTTCGTGTGGAATATATCGTGATAATATTGCACTAAATATAAATATTCAAATTGTTTTCAAGACATAGCTCTCTATTCTAATGAAACAACAGGAATTCAGATCAGCACTTAAATGTATACATATGTACAAGTGTAAAATAATTGAACAATAGAGCTTAGTATAAACCAGTAGCGACATGAGCTTTGGCATTTACTTCAACAACAAAAACTGGCTTTTGTTATTCTAATTATAAAGTTCATATCTTTCGTTCTAAACACATTCAAGTATAATATTATTCTAATCTTATTATGTGGTGAGTCGAGGGGTTATGGGCTACTGTAATCACTTTGAATAAAGGGCAGAGGTAGGCTCTAATATTCGTTTTATCTGTACTATTAAAAGAAAACTATCATGTCTACAACTGGACAGTGAGTGCGTGTTTAGATCCAGAACGTTGTGGGTTAAAGCACGTGACACTTCTTAAATTATAATCGGTTGCAATCACCCTAGTTTTTCACCTGCTTTCTTGGAGAATAATAAGGAGAGGGGGATATATACTCAGCGCTATTTAGGATCGCGTTGTTATTCAAAATTATATATATATACATACCTCTTATTTCTCAGGAACTGTTATATATATGTGTATATATATACCTCTTATTTCTCAGGAACTGTTAT